AAACACAGAGTAAACTTTCATAGCTATGCTGATGACACACATTTTTAAATTTTCTTCATCACTGACAGTCAAGATTGTGTTGACATGCTAACAAATTGTGTGTCAGATGTCAGATGTGTGTCTCCAAATGGATGTCAAAAATTGTTAGCAGCTTAAACAGGACAAAACTGAAATTCTGATTCTTGGCCCTGAGTTTCAGAAAAAAACTAATGAGAAATAAGATCATTTGGTGTCAAATGTTAAATGTATGGAACCTAGGCGTTATTTTAGGTTCTCATCTTAGTTTTATCCCTCATTTAAATAATAATTTTAATAAATAAATATTGGTAAAATCAGATATTTTCTGTCCCAGAGTAATCCAGAGAAATTTGTTCAGGTATTTGTCACAAGTAGAATTGATTACTGCAATGTTCTTTTGACCAGGCTTCCCAAACAAACAGTACTTTCTCCACAACTTACACAAAATTTAGCAAATCCTGACAAAAAATGAAGAAGACAACTCATGGGGCTCCCGAGTAGCGTAAGTGTCTGTTCTTTGGCCCTGTCATCAGGAGGTCACAAGTTCAATTCCTGGGGATACTACAGCCATCTCTGTTTGAAAAAATATGTTTGTTTTAAATAATTTGCACTGGCTGCTTGTGTACTCCAGGATAGATTTTAAAATGATTTTATTGGTTTTAAAGCTCTAAATGGTCTAGCACCTGTGTACCTCACTGAATGCCTGTCACTTTTTGTTCCAACATTGACCTTAGCTCAGCAGAGTCTGGCCTTCTCCGAATACCCAATGTAAACTACAGAAACAGTAGAGAGGCTTCCCTGTTCAGTACAAACTTTTAAGAATCATTTGAAAATGTATCTTTTTAATCTAGTTCTTACTTAACTTACTGTTGTCATTTATTAAATAAATCTGTCCAAAGAATCTTGTTCCAAAATTGGACAGGCTTTTTTAGATGTTTTCTAGAAAAATCTATTCCTTTCTGTCTGTTGCTATCAGTGGTTTGCATCTTGAGGTAAACCCTCTGTATTTACGTTCATTAAGTCATCTTTTGATTGTAGACTTAGACAATGATACACCAATCTCCACATAAATGTCCTTGATTTGACTAAATGTTGTGAAAGTTTTTCTTTACCACAGAATAAATTTTGGAATCATCCAATGAAGTTGACATGGTCTTCCAGGCTTTGTAGTACTGCTGAGCTCATCAGTGTGTTTCCTCTTTTTTTAGATTGTACCAAATTGGTTATTTATACACTGCTATCTCTCTGATAGGTTTGTTTTGTTTGTAATAATGGCCTCCTTTGCATGCATCAAGGTCTCTTTAGACAACATATTGAATTCCCATGGACAGCTATGCAATGCATTTTTAACACTAGGAATAAACTCCAAACCTTTTATGTCCATAATTTGTCATGAAATAATGAGGGAACAGGCCAAAGCTGGCATGAAACTGCTTAACAGTCAACTGTCTAATTACTTTGAGCCTAAACAATGGAGGGACTGTGTAAAAAAGAGCTGTAATTTCAAAATAGTTACTGCAATATTTTTCTTAAACCCCTAAAATTAAACCTGAACAGAGTTGGCCTCAATCGCTTGTCAAGGAACGCTGTTTTTAAACTGCTGTATTATTTGCTGATGCATTTTTGGCCAAGTAGAGAGCCTTGACCCATCCTTGCTCATAAAGGCTCTTCCTGGATCCTCCTTTTATGACCTTATCATTAGTATGTCTGTTTAAGATGTTTTTTTGAACATTTCACAACATTCCTCATTTTAAATTGCCCCATCCCAACTGTTTTGGAAACTTGTTGCAGGCATCAATATCTGAACAAGTGCATATATACAAAAAAATAATTAAGTCAACAAGTTAAAATATTAAATATCTTTGTGCTTTTTGTTTAAGTAAAGGTCAAAGTGAATTTACAAATCACCTCTTTCTGTTTTGATATGCATTTTACACACTGTCCCCATTTTTGTGGAATTGGATTCGTAAAAGCTTAGTAGGAGTTCCTAATATCAGTCCTGGTGACCCCATGCTCTGCACATCTTTGTCCCAGACCACGAGGAGCTTGTAATTAGTTAATGAGTTGAATCAGGTGTGATACATGAGATAAACATAAAAAAATTGGCATAGTCTGGGACACCAGAACCGAGATTGGGAAACCCAGGCCTAATAACTAACTAAGTCCATGTCATTTTGATTAGGGTGGATTTAGTCATTTGTAAAACAACCAGTCTTCCCAGTGCAATCACCCTTTTCCGGTTTGTGCACAAAAGCTTAAATTTTTAGGATTAGTAAATATCTATCAGTAAGATTGCCATTTCAGCAGCATTTTCCAAGGAATCAGGGGAAAAAAAAGAATCTTGGGAAGAAACCAAAAACCTCCTATTTTGTGTTATGCACTTGTATGTGGTAGGACTGGGCAACCTAATAGACAAATACTGAGATGAGTCCTCTAATGCAAGCGGTCCTAATCTTAGTCCTGGGCTGTGTCCAGAAACCTAAAAAGTTACTGATTTTTCTTACTATCTTACGATCTTTCTACTGCCAGCCCTTACAAACAGCTTGTGGTTATACAGGTGTTGTTTGATTGTGGTTTAGGAGATGTTCTGACCCCAAGAACTAACTAATGTCTGAATTCCTTGTTTGAAGACCACAAGAGAGTCTGCTGTTCAGATAGCCAGTGGAAGTCCATTCCACCACATGGGTGCCAAGACAAAAAAGAGTCTTGATGCATCTTAAAACCTGAGCTGTACTTGAAGCTAGAAGGCCTCAAGTTACAGATGTAAGTTTTGACCATTGCCATCACGTAGGGTGGGGCTGGTCTATTTGACTTTGTAGATAAGCATCAGGGTTTTTTTGAAGGTAACACATCAGTGGAGTGAATTTATGAAGACAAGCTATGCTGCTGCATTCTGGATGAGTTCTCTGATGGCCCACGCACTGAAACCAGCCAACAGTGAGTTGCAGGAGTCAAGTATTGAGACGACAAGAGACTGAACTAGCACCTGGGTGGCCTACCAAGAGAGAAAGGGTCAAATCCTCCTGATGTTGAAGGGGAGAAACCTGCATGACTGAGTCAGGTTCATAATATGAGCTGAGAACAGTAACTAGTCATCCAGAATCACACCAAGCCTTGCATCTTCAGACAAAACAACCAATAAGTTCTCAAATGAGATGGCAAGATCATGGTGAGGACCTGTATTTCCAACCTGCCACAGAGCCTGATGATCCAGTTCTACACAGTGATCATTGAGTAAATCACCCATAACCATCTGATTTGGCTCCTCCACTTCACAAGAATGAGCTTCCAGTGCATAATCAGGATAACAGAGAGGGTTGTTGGTCTGCCAACGCTTCAGGACATCTACAAAGGTAGAGTGATGAAGCGCACTGGCATTTTGGACATCACCTCTTTCACTCCCCTCTGGTAGAAGAATCAGGGCAATCAAATCAGCACAGCCAGACATGCTAACAGCTTTTTACCCAGAGCTGTACAGTGGACACCTAATATTTTAAACTTAAACTAAACCAAACAAACCTCCTTATTGTATTACTTTAACTCCTCTGTTACATAATGTTATTTGCAGAACTGTACAGATGTAAATTTCAGAAAATATGCATAACCTTCTGTAATATTCTGTAATTTATAGTATATGGCATTAGACTTTCATATGTATAGGTATTCTTATCTGCATGTACAGATATTCACACTTCTCTTTAGATCCTTCATTGCCCCTTCATTATTATTTATTCTATTTATCATATTTTTAATTTTATTTTCCTATAGCTAAGTACTTGTTAACAGTCCGTTTGCTTTTGTGGTCTGTTTACTATGACTTACATGTCATATACACCTATCAGGCATAACATTATGACCACCTTCTTGTTTCTGTGCTCATGGTCCATTTTTTCAGCTCCACTTGCTATATAGGTGCACTTTGTAGTTCTACAGTTACAGACTGTAGTCCATCTGTTTCTCTGCATACTTTGTTAGCCCCCTTTTACCCTGTTCTTCAGTGGTCAAGACCCACATGGACCCTAACAGAGCAGGTACTATTTGGATGGTGGATCATTCTCAGCACTGCAGTAACACTGATGTGGTGGTGGTGTGTTAGTGTGTCCACAGCAGTGCTGCTGGAGTTTTTAAACACCTCAGTGTCACTGCTGGACTGAGAATAGTCCACCAACCAAAAATGTCCAGCCAACAGCGTCCTGTGGGCAGCATCCTGTGACCACTGATGAAGGACTAGAAGATGACCAACACAAACTGTACAGCAGCAGATCAGCTATCATATCTGACTTTACATCTACAAGTGGGACTGACAAGGTAGGAGTGTCTAATAGAGTGGACAGAGAGTGGGCACAGTGTTGTAAAAACTCCAGCAGCACTGCTGTGTCTGATCCACTCAGATCAGCGCAACACACACTAGCAGAATGAACTGGATCATTTTTCAGTGATTACCTGTTCCCTTGGTTACAGGTACAGTTTTTAACAGGTAATCAGTAATATGTAGTGGACTACATTTTTAAAGTAACCCTTTTAACTCTGGTTCTGCATGTTAACAATATAGAATACCTTTTTCAACCCACTGGCTGGAACTCCTATTAAACAATCCCACCATGTATTGTCATCTCTTGTAGATGTCTGGGGCATCACTGGGGTTTACACCCACAACCTCCTGGTAGGAATTAATATTTAGTCTGTTGTACCATTCAGCCATTCACTTCAAATAGGGGTTAAACTTTTGTTAATATTTTGCATTAAATTCAAAAGGAATAATGCCAGTAAATTTATTTGTTACCATGTGAAGTAATTTTTTAGGTTGAACTACAGAACACTTTTGCAGTGCATAAGGTGGGTTGAACAGTGGGCCGTGGCAGAGAGTGGTGTGTGGCTTTCGTTCTGGATTTCTTAGAACCGAGGTGATCAGAGAGAGGAACTAAAAGTTGCGAAATGTTCCTGATAAATAGTTTGTCACTTAGCGTAAGCCACAAAAACATTACCACTGCAGCTCTGGACTGAAGCAGCTATTGACGGGTGAGTCATTTTAATGAAAACATAAACCATTCTTTACGCTCATTTTGTTTTGCTTTCATTCATCTTGCCTTGTGTTTGAAATGTGCTAGAAAAATGAGACCTGTCTAGACCTTCCTTGCCTGAATGAGGCCCAATGGCCAATGAGGGTAGTGGTCTTGTACAGATCAATACACAGAAAACGCCCTGGGTAACAAAATCTTTCAGAATATAGATCATTTTTCTGCACAATTGACTTTGAAAGTTATGATTGACTTTCTAATTGAAAACAATACATTTGCTGCAGAGAACACACTGCACGCTGTACTATCCAACTGCTGCTTATTTGCTGAATTTAACATAGTGGGGGAAAGAAACAAAACACAAAATGTGGCCTGTGCAAAGGTTATTGCACATTTTAATGCACATATTATAAATTTCGTGTTTTCTTCCCCAACCCCCTTCCCTCATATTTGTCAAATGCAGCAAATAAATAGAAATTGTGCACTTCAATTTTTACCATGTTTAAGTTCTGTTGAGGATGTGTGCTTATGTCCAACAAAACATGTCTATCACCAGGGATTTACAAATTTTAGCATACTGGTCGCTCTTCATTTTGGCATGTATTTCATGTGTCACCTAGGGAAAAGTAATGTCATGCATGCAATGTATTTCACAATTGTTTGTGAATTGTTGTTTTCAAAATGTGATGTAAATGTGTTTAAAGTACTGCATGATGGAAAGCAATATAGCCTTGCTTTCATTACATTTTAAGGTGGATTGTATTCACTTTTGTTCACGCTTGGTATTAACATCTGTCTTAAGTGATCTGATCACAAGTGGTTTTTTATACTGTAATGATTTCATTTCAATTTGACACAAATTACTTTTCATAAGCTAAAACAACTTTCATTTCATTAGCAAACAGTTTGTCAATTGGCCAATTAATATGTCTACACTTTTGTCCACAATTCCATCCATCCATCCATCATCTAAACCGCTTATCCTTCTGGGTTGCGGTGGGGTGCTGGAGCCTATCCCGTCATTGGGCGGAAGGCAGGATACACCCTGGACAGGTCGCCAGTCCATCGCAGGGCAGACAGACAGACAGACACAGTCACACACACACTCACACCTAGGGGCAATTTTAGCATGTCCAATCAGCCTGACTGCATGTTTTTGGACTGTGGGAGGAAACCGGAGTACCCGGAGGAAACCCACACAGACACGGGGAGAACATGCAAACTCCACACAGAAATGACCCTGGTCACCCAGCCGGGAATCGAACCCAGGCCCTTCTTGCTGTGAGGCGACAGCGCTACCCACTGCGCCACCGTGCCGCCCTTGTCCACAATTGTGAAGCAGATATTTTGTTGCACTGTGGGGATATGATACAAGGTCCCTTTCTTCCCAGTATTTTTGTCAACCAAATCTACACCAGCAACACTTTCTCTTCTAAACTATCAGCCAAGATATCTGATTAACAATTATTTGATGTTTGTAATAATTACTTAAAATATGGTGATTACTTCTCGGAATAAATTGTTTCTTTTTGCTAGAATGTGAAGATGACAGGGAGGACAAAGGCATCATAAGTGGACCTGGGCAATAAAAGATGCATCCTCTGACTGTTTTTCCACAGCACTAGTTTCTTGTTTACTGCCCTGAACCATGCAAAACATGTTCTGACCAAGCTAGAATGTATCACAGCATTTCATCATTCACATTCAGTAGTCCAAACATTGGAGAAGACTGAATTTTAGAAAAGTTGGTCTAAATTCCCACCTGAATTTTAAACATTTTCAAGACTCATTTCAGCACCTCATGGAACTTTTGTTTGTTTTTTCAAAATTTCAAAGGTTGGATTACAGTATACTTACAATAACTTATAACCTTGATGTACATTGGATAAATATATGCTACTAGAAATGTAGGAATTTGATGACAATTTTTAAGTATGGGGGTGCATCTATTATGTGTTTGGACTCTTACATCTTTTCACTTCTAAAAATCAACAACATATGTAATTTTGCCAGTGGTGCCCATACAAATGTTTGCTCCTTTCTAATCAGTAGTCAACAAAACCAAACGTTTCTGTTTGTGTTTGCTGTACAGAAACAAGAGGCATCATGAATTCAACTCCACTGACAGGGACAGAATATCCTAACTACAAGAACCACACCACAAGTCAGACTACGGATTTGTCATCTTGCGACACGGCATGTATTTTCTATGCAGTAGCAAATGTGATTGTCATCATCCTGGGTGTTGCTGGAAATGGTTTGGTGATCTGGATTGCAGGATTTAAGGTGAAGAAGTCAGTTGTCACCACCTGGTACCTGAGCCTGGCACTGTCTGACTTCATATTCTGCTCCTTCCTGCCCATTCAGTGTTGTTTATATGGTCAAAGGCGAGTGGATCTTTGGGCGCTTCATGTGCAAGTTCACTTCCTTCATCATGTGGCTCAACATGTTCAGCAGCATCTTCCTCCTCGTCATCATCAGTGTGGACCGTTGTGTGACCGTTATGTTTCCTGTGTGGGCTCAGAACAAGCGTACTATAAGGAAGGCCTTTGTGATAGTCATGCTAGCTTGGATCACTGCAGCAGCATTTAGTACACCATCACCTGTTGTGCGAGACATCCACCTTGAGCAAAAGACAGTTTGTAGGTATAAGTACGAAAGTATGAAAACCTATACAGCTGATGTAGTGTGCCGATTCATTTTTGGATTTGTGATCCCCTTCCTGGTCATTATCATCTGTTATGTTGTCATCATTCGAAAGCTGAAGTCCAACCATATGGCGAAGTCTAAAAAGCCCTTAAAGATCATGACGGTGCTGATCATTACTTTCTTGATCTGCTGGTTGCCATATCACATTGTAGCTTTGATGTTTTTATTCATGCCGTTGAATCGTTCATTGCCCACGGCATTTGTATTTTGTGTCTTTCTTTCCAATGTGAACAGCTGTCTGAACCCATTTCTTTATGCATTCTTGGGGAGGGATTTTAAGAAGCAATGTAATGCGCTGCTGTCAAAGATTGAGAATGCAGTCAAGGAAGATGGCCTGTACACCATTCAAGGGACAGTTACTACCACCTCTGGGGAAAGCAGACATTCAACTAGTGTTTAAAGTTTTCACTGAGTATGAGACCCTTTAACTGCTAATTGTACACCAAAATATATTCACTTCAGTTAATTCTTTGATTCTTGAAGAAGTGCCTCATTAAAAAACTTTTATCTTGCAAAAGGGAATGGCAAAAACATATACTGAACTTTGGTATTTGGAACCGTAATGTTCCACAGCCACAACAATACTTAACCATTACTTGTGTAACATAGCCCTATGACACGTCTACTTGCAACTTTGTGGTGCCACGTGCCATTAATTTGAGTGGAGAGCCCTGCCTGTTTCACGCAGCGCATAACAGGTGCTGCCTTGCCATGCATCAAATGAAAGTTAAGCAAGATTTCTGCTTGATGCAAATGAGCCCGGCAGCACTGTGTTTAGCTAATAAGGAATGGCAAACAGTACATTTTTTTTCAAGGAAGAGAGGGGCTCTATTCTCTTTTCTGACTCCATTACAGTTTAACATATTGAAAATTATTGATTGTATGCAGCACTGTTGACAGTGGACATTTTAAAAGGAAGATATTTAATGATATAAAGTTTACATGGTTTGAGTGGGAACCAAAATTGAATTCATACAGAGCTCTGAAGTTACTTACCAAGGTAGCTAGCTTGCTAACTTTCTAGCTTTTGCAGACAACTCATTCATTCTGAAAATTCTAAATGCATTCAAAATCTGTATTTAAGTCTCAGATCAGCTTTTGCATAACAATGAAACCTATAAGAAGCAGCAAACAGCATATCAGTTTGTTTAGTTTAAAAAAGTATATAAACTAAATTACGTAATGTGCCTGAAATTTAGCTTTGCCTAACTTCTTTGACATACATTTTAATCCTCCTGTTGACAAGAGGCCATTGCAGAACTTATCCACATTGTATGCAACTGGAGCCAGTAAACATACCCAGCAGCTTATTGTTGAAGTAATGGAGTGCATTCGGACCCAACACTGCATGGATTACCCAGTTTTGATGACATTACTGACTAAACGTAGTTCTGAAATTGGAATGACCTGTGATCTGTATCGCGTAATGTATAAAGGAAAACAAATTGAAAAAATGTTCAGGTGAAATAGTCATGTTTCTTTCATTGCTTGCAACATTGTTTTTTTTTTTGACTTTCTGATTGTATCGAATCATATATATTTGATTTAAAAAATAAAACTATGTTAATACTCTGAAAACACTAATAAGTTTGGGTAAGCTCTGCAAGTTATGGAAATAAGATACCCAAAAAATGTTTTTGATTCAAAATCAGTAAAAGAAAAAAAAAAACTGTAAAAACAATGTGTTGTAAGTGTACATTAAATTACAGATTACAGAGTATATTAACGTATCCTGTATTCTGAATATTATATGTATGCACACACATTAGGAAATGAAACCATTTTAAAATTGCATTTTTAATATACGATTTTAAAGATACAAAAATCCTCCCAAAGAAACAAGTTTTCATTTCAGTTCAGTTTCAGGATTCACTGAAAAACTGCAGTATACAAAATAAATATGTGTTACATCCATGTCATACAAGCTCCAAAATTAAGCATTTAAGCTAAGGGCTGTATAACATTAAACTCAAGGTGGAAAAGTAAATGTACACCATTGTTAGCTTGGAACTAACATGACAAAATACCCTTTAGAGACTGAATCCTGTAGCCAGCTGAAATTAGCATTTTGTGACGTTTCCCCAAGTACCTCATTGTGAGGACATCAAAATAAACACAAAGTCACAAAAGCTGAAAGCCTGAAAATTTGCAGCCAAGATGTGTCTCTCTTGTTATATTTTGTCAGAAATTATTATTGTATATTTTTATTGGAAGTCGAATATATTTTCTTGTGTTATAGCGAGGACATTAACCATTCTTCAGACTATGCTGGAGTGCATGTAAACAGGACTGCAAATGAACTAGTCTTTTAAACAGCCTTTGTCAATGTCTTAGTTTGGCCCAATTTCAAGACTAATGAAAAACTTGCTCAGGGTTTTAAAAAGGTTGTTTTATTCAGTAATAAATGTTAATGTTCTCACATTGGTTTGTTTTACCCCATTGTGTAATATAAATCTAATTGATACTGCTGCACTGTAAGTACAGATGAAGGGATACACAAGATGGAGAAAACCACTCTGTAGATCTTAGCAGTAGCAAAGTAGCCATGGCTACCAAGCTACTGGTTTTAAAGCTGGATAAAATGTGTTTTTAATTGTATTATGTTCAGATCCATACTGCATATACATTTACATCTAAGATATCTAATCAATCTGTTGAATGAAAACAGAAATGCTTAACCTATTATCTATTACCTGTGTGTCTACTTGTATTACAATACACATAATAAAAACAGTTTAATTTATCTTTGCTTCTTTTTGATTGTTTTAATTCTGTACCAATTTGAACTTGTAAGGTTAATCTTTGTAAGCAGTGGCAAAATATCAGAGGTAGGGGCAGATGAAATTCACTGTCACCTTGATATCAGCACAGATCACATGGTGTGACCTCTATAAAACAAAAATAGAAGCAGCGGAAAAAGATTAAGATAACAGATAAAGACTGTTACTTGTGCTGTCTGAGGAGCTTGACACTATGAGCACTGAACCCTCAAACAGTGACTGGTGCAGCCTAGTGCTGCTGGTACAATTTGATTTTGTGCCGATTTTAGACTGATCAATACTATGTCGAGGGTGGCCCATACCCATTACCACAAGTAGATGATATGATTGATAGAATGTTTAGGGCCAAGTACATCATCTCCATCAGTCTGAGCAAGGGCTACTGGCAGGTGTCTTCAGCATCAGAAGCAAAGGAACTGACATATGGGATGTTTCAGTTTACAGTGGTGCCGTTTGGACTCCAGGGTTCACCAGCCATATTTCAAAGGCTAATAAAGACCAATATATGATACGATAATAGACATAGGAACAAGTGTATGCTGCAAAAGGAACATGGTTCTGAGTGTGAAGTGTCAGTTAATGTGCTGCTATAGCTTCAATGCTACAGCCATGTTTACATAAACACCTTTAGTTCAACACCTGAAAAACATTTATGAAAGATTCCCCGCCAGAAGTCTTAAGCTTCAAAATGTTGTCCAATACACTTCCAAATGAACACTTTTAGACTCAAATGATTTCATTACAAATAATATGGGAAGATACAATCTACAAATCTCTTTAGATATTTCACTCACATGGTGTTCCATGAAGGGTCATCAGTGTAGTGTAAATTTCACTTTGGGTGATTGGTTTATCAAGCATGTCTCTCTTCTTATCTGATAGTCTGGGACGTGCCAATGAGCTGAGAAAGTTTCCAATCTTTCATGAGATACCGCAGTGCAATTTCCTGAGGTCAGTTAAACTGTTATTAGATCCAGACTCTCAGTGTCAGGAGAAGGGTTTAGCCAAACCTAAGAAGACTGCTTAAAGTAAATACAAAACCTGTTTATTATTTCATCAAACTATTTTAAATACGGGGCAGCACGGTGGCACTGTTGACTCACAGCGAGAATGGCCTGGGTTCGATTCCCAGCCGGGCAACCAGGGTCATTTCTGTGTGGAGTTTGCATGTTCTCCCCATGTCTGCGTTGGTTTCCTCCCACAGTCCAAAAACATGCAGTTAAGCTAATTGGACATGCTGAATTGCCCCTAGGTGTGAGTGTGATTGTGTATGTCTGTCTGCCCTGCGATGGACTGGTGACCTGTTCAGGGTGTATCCTGCCCTCCGCCCAATGACAGCTGGGATAGGCTCCAGAACCCCATTGTGACCCAGAAGGATAAGTGGTTTAGATGATGTATGTATGTATGTATTTTGAAATACAGATGCTGTCATCTGTAAATTGCAGTTTTCCTGGAGAAGCTCAGTAATTACCTCAAATATAAAGCCTAATCCAGAATATTATTAAAGTAGCCTTTAAGCATGTAGCTAGCTATCTGCCAAGTTGTTTGTCTTAGATCAACAAGTTCAACAAAACCATACATTCTTACCTGGAGTATATTTAGTCTCTCTTCAGCTGTTTACTTCATTTACATGCCACTTGTAACTGCAAAACATATGTTCATTAGTGAGATCCTGCTGCTGTTTCCTTCGATTTCAGAGATTTTTGGTGAAGAACACCCAATTTTTAAACAGGTTTTGTAAATTTAAAGCACCTACACTGGAACTTTAAAATTAATCCCTGAATGGTGCTTAAATCTGAGATTAACGTGATGGTGCAAGGATTAGATATAAACTATATTGAAGGAAAAAGTAATCCAGGATTAAGATGATGGTTCAAATGTAATGTGGGTTATCTTAAAACTGTGATTAAGGTTTGGTGCAACAGGATTAATAGATAAACCTTGATTTAATCTAAGTTTAATTTTGATCTTTATTGCTGCCACTTCCGCTTCATTTTTAAACGTGTACCTTAACACAATTCCTTAAGTGTCCATGGACAATGTGAAGCCTTGCTTATACTGTGATTTGGAAGTGGCGGAGCACATTAGTCAATTTTAAGTATATTATATTCATAATTTATTTTATAAGTCTGTAAATTTGCATGCACTAGTTTCCTGTGGCACTCACAAACAGAGGGGAGCAACAAAAGTTCTGGAGCAGAGTTTCATGGACTGATGAGACCAAGATTAACCTCAATCAAAGTGATGGAAAGGCCAAAGTGTGGAGACAGAAAAGGATCTGCTCACGTAGCTAAAACACACAAGCTCATCATTCAAGCACAGTGGAGGTCAGTGTCATGGCTTGGGGAGCCATGGCTGCAATGGAACAGGCTCACTAATGTTTATTTATGATGTAACTCAGGATGTGGCAGCATGAATGGAGAAGTCTACATAAACATTCTATCTGCCAGTTTACAGAGCAATGCAGGAAGACAATGACCCAAAACACACTGCGAACACAACAAAGGATTTCGTCAGGGAAAAAGGTGAAAGGCGGAAGTAAATCACCAAACCTTAACCAAATTAAGTATGCATTCCACCTCCTGAGCAAAGAAAGGCGTGTGGTTTGCAACTCTGGAACTGTGAGGACTGAAGTCTTCACCGAGAGGTACTGTTGTAATACAGGAGTCTGGTCTTGGTCTCCCAGATCATAATTCAGCAGTCTGTCTTGTCTTGGTCTCAGGATCATTTGTACTTGATCTTGTCTCAGTCTCGGGGTGAGGCGAACTTGAGGTCTCAGTTTCAAACTGCACAATGCTTCTGCCACAAGAGGACCCTCCTTTTGAAAATGAAGAATG